ATGTTAATGATATTGTTCAATAATTTCCACATTCTGTGGGATCAGCTTTCTTTGGAATGGGTGGAAATATGGATCTCTTCCAGTCAGTTGGCCAGGTAGTTGTTTTCCAAATCTCTTGGCATAACCAAGTGAGTACCTCCAGTGGGGCATCCGTTTGTTGAAACATCTCAATGGGTATTATGGGTTTTCTGTCAATTCCTGGAGGCTTGTTCTTCACCAGTTTCTTCAGTGTAGCTTCGACTTCTTCCTTCAGTACCATTGGTTCTTGATCATATGCCACCCCCTGAAATGGATGACTGTTGACCCATTCTTTTTGGTACAGTGACTCTGTATGTTCCTTCTATCTTCGTTTGATGTTTCCTGCATCATTCAATATTTTGCCCATAGAATCTTTCAGTATTGCAACTCAAGGGTTAATTTTTTCCTCAGTTATTTCAGCTTGAGAAATGCTGAGCATGTTCTTCCCTTTTGGTTTTCTAACTCCAGGTCTTCGCACATTTCCTTATAGTAATTGGCTTTTTCTGCTTGAGCTGCTCTTTGAAATCTTCTGTTCACCTCTTTTGTCATTTTATTTGCTTTAGCTACTCTCCACTCAAGGGCAAGTTTCAGAGTCTCTTCTGACATCCATTTTGATCTTTTCTTCTTTTCTCGTCTTTTTAATGATCTCTTGCTTTCTTAATGGATGCTGTTCTTGATGTCATCCCACAATTCTTCTGGTTTCTGGCCATTGGTGTTCAATGCATCAAATCTATTCTTTAGATGTCTCTAAATTCAGAAGGATATATTCAAGGTCATATTTTGGCTCTCGAGAATTCATTTTAATTGTCTTCGACTTCAAGTGGAACTTTCATATGAGCAGTTGATGGTCTGTTCCACAGTCAGCTCCTGGCCTTGTTTTGGCTGAAGATATTGAGCTTTTCCATCATCTCTTGCCACAGATGTAGTCAATCTGATTCCTGTGTATGCCATCTGATGAAGTCCATGTGCATAGCGGCTGTTTGTGTTGTTGAACAAATGTATTTGAATGAATAAGTCGTTCGTTAGTCTTACAAAAGTTGGAATGCGGAAGTTGTAAACAAAGAAGAATCACTGGTATTTGGAAAATTTGGCCTTGGTGAGAGACATAATGCTGGAGATTGCATGATAGAATTTTGCAAAACCAACGACTTATTTGTGGTTTAGTGTTAGAATTCTAACCTCCAAGGAGAGCCAGGTTTGATTCCTCCCCAATGCACTTCATGTGTAGCCACTGCCTGTCTGTCACTGTAGGCTTGTGTGTTGCTGTGATGTGAAACATTTCAGCAGAGCTTCCAGACTAAGACAAATTAGAAAGAAAGGCCTGGTGATCTACTTAGAAAATTAGCTAATGAAAATCCTGTGGATCACAACTGTTTGATACAAAGACTATGTGGATGGTACAGGACTGAGCAGTATTACGTACCATTGTGTGTGGGATCACCATGACTTGGGGGCCAACTTGACTGCAGTTAACAACACCATTAGTCACACAAGTGACAGGGAAGGCAATAGGATTATTAAAATTATAAAAAGCATATTTAAAAGGAATGAAGTATTTCTATGAATGATATAAAATATTTTTATCAAAGAAAAATAATCAATTATGAAAAAAATGTCAGATATACTAACTTGACTAATTTTTATACATCATAATAGTAGTTTGGGAAAGCTTAACACAATATTTATGAGGAAGGGAAGAAGTCTTTAGGAAGACCCAAAAGTGTTGAGTTACTATGTAGATACATTAAATGGCTTATCACTAGCTAGTTTGTGAATTTTTTAATTTTACGTCTTTAGTACTAAAAAGTGCCCTAAGTATCTTTTGCTTTGAACAATTTAAATGCTAGGGAGTATAGTGACTTTTTCTTTATTGTTATTCACATCTTTTTTGCTAATTTTATCTACCCTAACTAAACCAGTTGCCACTGAGTCATTTTTGACTCAAGGCAACCCCATGTGTGTCAGAGTAGAACTATATTCCATAGCGTTTTTAGTAGCTGATTTTTTGGAAGTAAATCACCAAGGTTCCTCTGGGTGAACTGGAGCAGCCAACTTTTTAGTTAGGAACCAATCAGATTAATTATTTTATGACCCTGGAACTCCTAGTTAACCTGTTGTTGTTGTTGTTGTCATATAGTCAGCTCAGACTCATAGCAACCCTATGTATAACAGAATGAACACTGCCCGGTCATGTGCCATCCTCACAATCCTTGCCATACTTGGGCCCATAATTTTAGCCACTGTGTCAGTTCATCTTTTGAGGGTCTTACCCTTTTTTACTGATGCTCCACTTTAGCAAGCATGATATCCTTCTCCAGGAAATGGTCCCTTCTTACAACATGACCAAAGTAGGTCAGACGAAGTCTGGCCATTCTCACTTGCAAGGAACATTCTGGCTGCACTTCTTCCAGGACAGATTTGTTCGTTCTTCTGGTAACCCTTGGTATTTTCTGTATTCTTCACCAACACCACAATTCAAAAGCATCACCTTTTCTTTGGTCTTTCTTGTTCATTGTCCAGCTTTCACACACATATGAGGTGATTGAAAATACCATGGCTTAGGTCAGGTATACCTTAGTCTTCAAAGTGACATGTTTGCTCTTCAACATTTTAAAGAGGTCTTTTGTAGCAGATTTTCCCAGTCCATTATGACATCTGACTTGTTGACTGCTTCCATGTGGATCCAAGTGATATGAAATCTTTGACCACTTCAGATGTTTCTCCGTTTATCATGCTGCTGCTTATTGGTCCAGTTTTGAGGATTTTCATTTTCTTTATGTTGAGGTGTAATCCATTCTGCAGACTGTAGTCTTTAATCTTTATCAGTAAGTGCTTCAGGTCATCTTTTTTCAGCAAGCAAGGTTGTGTCATCTGTATTTCCAACCAAACTCACTGCTGTTGAGTTGATTCCAACTCTTAGCGATCCTTCCTTAGGTTTCTGAGGCAGTATCTTTATGGAAGTAGATTGCCCAGTTTTCCTTCTGAGGAGTGGCTGGTGTACTTCCTTTTGAGGAGTGGCTGGTGTACTTCCTTCTGAGGAGTGGCTGGGGTACTTCTTTCTGAGGAGTGGCTGGTATATTTCCTTCTGAGGAGTGGCTTGTGGGTTTGAACACAGATTGTTAATGAGTCTTCCTCCAATCCTCATGCCGCATTCTTCACATAGTCCAGCTTCTTGGAATATTTGTTCAGCATACACAGCCTTCCTGATTTTAAACTATGTAGTATCTGCTAGTTCTGTTCAAATGACAGCCTCCTGGTCTATGTATAGGTTCCTCATGACACAATTAAGTGGTGTGGTAGTCCTATTCTTTGCAATGTTATACATAATTTGTTATGATCTACACAGTCGAAGTTTTCATATAGTCATTAAAACACAGGTAACCATCTTTCTGGTATTCTTTGCTTTCAGCCAAGATCCATCTGACATCAGCAGTGATATTGCTTGTTCCACATCCTCTTCTGAATCCAGCTTTATTAAAGGCTATAAACACTTACCTTATCTTCATTGTATTTTAATGAAAGTAGGTCCACGGATTCCTTTTTGTGAATTTCTATTCAAGCAGTGGTTAACAGTGTTACACCCAGGTGTAGTTCTTGTCTCCCCTTCCTATTATTTAATAGCTTTTTTGTTGGTCCTCATTTCAATAGCAGTTGTTAAAGAAAGCATTTAATATATACTTAATCTTTCTTACTAAAAACAGCTTTTTAAAAAATCAGAGTGTCAGTTATATTATGATGGATTTCTTATATAATAACTAGCCATATTTCTTTTAATGTATTCTAAGAAAACACTGAATACTAGTCACCTCTGTAATTCTTCCTCCACAGGCTGCCTTGTACCGCCTAAGTGGAGACTGGAATCCATTACACATTGATCCTAATTTTGCCGGCATAGCAGGTGAGTTGCTAATAATGTATAACTTTGAAAAAATATTAGCTTATCATAGTAGTCTAAATAGTATTTTTAAAGACAGTGCTACTTGTAACTGGTAGTTCGAGTAACATTTTAAAAATAGCCCTTTCTGAATTACATTATTCAAAGGATATTGAAAGGTAGGAAGTATTGTTTAGAAAAATGGTATACTTGAGATTCAGATTTTAGTGAGAAGGAAGTAACTGGTAGTGATAAATTCTAAGTTAGGAGCTTGGGGTGGTCTTTGAGTTATTGTGGAGGACAAGGTCATTGGAAGAAAGATCAAGAACTAAAAGGATTAGGAAGGATCATCTACATATGGATATTGAAATCTCTGTAGATGATGACATGTTATAACCTAAGCTAAACAGAGTAAAACAATTCTTTGTATTCATAGTACTCTTACGTTACTTTTCCTGTTTTTTTTTTTTTTTGGGGTGTGGTTTGTTTGTTTGATAATTTTCTCCCAGAAAGTATATTCTATAAAATAATTTCCATGTTTCTTAAAATAGATAGTATAATTCATGTTAATGTAGGTTAAAGATATACTTAAAAAAACCCAAATTAACTGTACTTGGTTTATGAACATGACAGCTGCTGGTATTAACTAAATTATCTCTCTTTATTTAGGTTTTGACAAGCCCATATTACATGGATTATGCACATTTGGATTTTCTGCCAGGCATGTTTTAAGGCAGTTTGCCAATAATGATGTGTCCAGATTCAAGGCAGTGAAGGTATATGCATATTAATGCATTCTTTGAAGGAAAGCAGTTTAGTGAAGTCATTTAAGATAGATGTTGTTGTTGTTGTTATGTGCTGTCGAGTCGGACCCGACTTTTAGTGACCCCTCCTTGGGTTTCTGAGGCAGTGTCACTACGGAAGTAGATTGCCCCATCTTCCTTTATATGGTAGAAATAGACATTTTTATTATTTCGTTGGCTTGGCAACTACACATTTTAGTTTTGTAGCTACAAATAGCTGTATTACACATGTATTATCAATGCTATTGTATAGTTACAATTTTAACAGGTAAAGTGGACTTTATCATGTTACTGATTAGGAATATACATATACCAACATGTGCCTTCTTATAAAAAACTCGAGATTTATTCTTCCTTTTTTACTATTTTATAACTTGCTTTAATTTAATTGAAAATACTAAGTGACTATATTTGATTTCTAATAAACATGCACCACATTAACTACAATTTTTTTTAGCTCTTGTATTCTTATGTTGATTTCATGTTTCTATCCATTACAAATAATAAGGAAAAATATCTGTGCACATTCTATCTTTGCATAAGAGTAAGTCAAAAGATACACAATTAAAAAAAAAACAAAAAAACTTTCAAGTCTTAGTGTCAAATAGCTCCAAAGCTCTTATTTTATGCACTGTGCAACTATAAAAATGCATTTTCTAATGCCTTATTCTTGGTAATAAAGTATTATGCATTTTAATTTTATTACAGCTGTCTTTATTATTATCCAGTAATATATGCACAGAGCAAATAAAATAGTGTAGAAAGTTATGAAATAAAATGTAGGATTATATTGCTCTGTATACCCATGCAAGGCCTCATTCCCCCAGAGGCTAATTACTACCACTTTTAATTGCTTCTTTAAGTTGTTCTGGTAGTTACTTATATAACTCTACTTAGTATGGTTATTCTTCTCTTTGTTGATTCATCAAGATTAAATACTATTTATTGGTTCCCTACTTATTAGCTCTGGTAGTGTAGTGCCTAAGGCACTTGACTGCTAACCAGAAGGCTGGTGGTTCTAACCTACCAGCCACTCCTCAGAAGGAAGGTTGGGCAATCTACTTCCATAGTGATACCACCTCAGAAACCCAAGGAGGGGTCACTATGAGTCGGGTCCGACTCAATGGCACATAATAACAACACTTATTAGCTCACTTATATTAGGTATGGAGTCCCTGGATGGTGTAAGTGTTTAAATGTTCAACTAGTAACTGAAACGTTGGTGATTTGAACCCACCTAAATGTATCTAGGAGCTCTGATGGCATAGATTCAGGTATTTGGCCACCAACCAAAAGATCAGCAGTTAAAAGCTGCCAGCCACTCTGAGAGAGAAAGATAAAGCAGTGTACTTCTATAAAGATTTATAGTCTTGGAAACACTGTAGAATGATTCTGTTTTGTCCTGTAGGATTGCCATGAGTTGGAATTGACTCGATGGTAGTGAAGGTTTTTTTTTTCTTTTTTATTATTATTAGGTTTAGTTCTTTTATGACTTGAAATATATTTAAACTTCTATTTCCTTTCCTTTTTGTTCTTCCTACCACCTTCCCATTTTCTTCCCTTCCTCACAAATTGAAGAATTTCATGTTACAACATTTTAACCCAAGAACACATTTATTTTGTTTTAAAGGTTCGTTTTGCAAAACCAGTATATCCAGGTCAAACTCTACAAACTGAGATGTGGAAGGAAGGAAACAGAATTCATTTCCAAACTAAGGTATGAATGAGAGAGATAGAAGTACTTTGTTTTGTTACTCTCTTCACCACACTTTGTAATTTTGTTGATTCTTACAATTTCTTTGGTTAGTAGTATATATATGAGATAAAACCTAGAAATTTTTCTTTTTATGTGATGATAATATTATAAATGAAACAATTGAGATGTGTCATGTATTGAATTGTATCTCCCAGAAATGTGTATCAACTTGGCTGGGCCATGATTCTCAATGGATTGGAAGTTATGTAATGATGTAATCATACCCATGATGTGATCTGATGTGATCAGCTAATCAGTTGTAAGGGGATTAGAGTGAGATTCAACATTCTCACTTAGGTCATAGTCCTGATGTGACGTAAGGGGAGTTTTCCCTGGGGTGTGACCTGTGTGTTGTTGTTAAGTGCCATTGAGTCATTTCCGACTCATAGCGACCCTATGCACAGCAGAATGAAACACTGCCCCATCCCGTGCCAGCTCCATGATCCCTGCTATACTTGAGCCCATTGTCGCAGCCACCATGGCAATCCATCTCATTGAAGGCCTTCCCTTCTTTTGTCAACCCTCCACCTTATCAAGCATGACATCTTTCTCCAGGGAATGGTCCCTTCTGACAACATGACCAAAGTAGGTGAGACGAAGTCTGGCCATTCTTGCTTCCAAGGAACATTTCGGCTGCACTACCTCCAGGACAGATTTGTTAGTTCTTTTAGCAGTCCATGGTACTTGCAGCATTCTTTACCAGCACCACAGCTCAAAAGTATCAACTCTTCTTTGGTATTCCCTATTCATTGGAGCTCTGATGGCATAGTGACCTTCTAATCATACAAGAGATAAAAAGAGAAGTAAGCAGAGAAGTAGGAATATACTACTACCAAGAAAGAATAGTGGGGAACAGATGGACTTGAGGTCCCTGTACTGAAAATCTCCTAGACTCAGGGTAAGATTGATGCCAAGAAACATGAACATGTCCAAGGAACATTGGGCTCACAGATGTTGAAAGGAGGCAGAGATCTTCCTTCAGAGCTGACAGAGAGAAAAAGCCTTCCACTAGAGCTGGTGCCCTGAATTCTGACTCCTAATTTCCTAAACTATGAGAGAATAAATTTCTGTTTGCTAAATCCATTCACTTGTGGTATTTCTGTTAAAGCAGCACTAGATAACTAAGATAGGATATTTCAACAAAAGGATGCAATGTGGAATGCACTAGCTTGTCTGTGCCAAGAAATTTGGAAGGTTGTTTCCTGGCAGATTGATTGGAAGAGATCCGTATTTGTGCCCATTCCAAAGAAAGGTGATCCAGCAGAATGCAGAAATATTGAATAATACTAACATCACATGCAAGTAAAATTTTGTGAAAATAATTCAATAACGATTGTAGCAGTACACTGACATGGAACTGCCAGAAATTCAAGCTGAATTCAGAAGGGATTGTGGAATGAGGGATATCATTGCTGATGTCAGATGGATCTTGGCTAAAAACAAAGAATATCACAGAGATGATTACCTGTGTTTTATTGACTATGCCAAGACATTTGACTGTGTGGATCATAATAAATTATGGATAACATTGTGAAGAATGGGAATTCCAGAACTCTTAGCTGTGCTCATGAGAAACCTGTACATAGACCAAGAGGCAGCTATTCAACAGAAAAAGGGTACAGTGTGATGTATCACTTTTTATGGCCTTTCTAGCCATGGTCTTGTAACTCCCACCAAATGATTGAGCAGGACTATGCAAATAAGGTGCTTATAACCCACCAAGGGGATTGGATAGCTTGGTAATTATGTAAATAGAGTGCATGGCACCATTGTGGGTGTGGGACTGGGCAAAGGTGTGTACAACTCCCAACAAGGGGATTAGGTAGCTTTGCCAACCTGCTAGGCTTAAAATGAACCATCCTAGAGGTGGAAGCAGGGAGAAATGTCACCACCACCCGGAAGAAGAGATGGGAGCAGATGACATCTTTTGGATTCAGGATCCTGCGCTGGCAACCTTCTGGATCCAAGAGACAGAGATAGAGCTGTAACACCAGACATGGCAAGAAATAGTGACAGAGAAGTGGCAGCAGCAGAGGCAGCAGAAGTGGAGATTGGGCAGGAAATAATATTGTAGGCTTCTGTGACTATGGAGCAAGAGAGCTCAATGCCTTTAGGCTGGAAGCTTGCTGGTGGAGTGGAGTGCCTCCATGTACTTATTGGTGGAGCTAAATAGCTTTCTAACACTTGCCTGAGTAGGGTAGAAGCTGGGCTGAGTGACCCAGAAAGCCCAAGGGGCTGAGAGACTGAGAGGCTAAGGGGCTGAGGGTCAGGGAGAGCTGAGCACAGCTGAGAAGAGCCTATCCTGATCAAAGAACTGTGTCCTGAGTACTTCCTATCTTGAATTGTAACCTGTTACTTCCCTAATCTCCATAGTTGTGAGTATTGTCTGTGAGTTCTGTGGCCATTACAATGAATTATCAAAACCCAGCAGAAGAATAGAGAGTGCGGTGGGAGGAACAGCTGTTGTTATAATTAGTACAAAGTTTGGAGAGTGGAAGTATGTCTGACTTCCATTCCATAAGAATCACCCTTAGGAGTTCCAGTAAGATGGCGGACTAGGCAGAAAGAATGCACAGACCCTCTTCAACAAAGAAAAGGGAAACCAATTAACACAGACACAGAAGATAATCCTGGACACCTGAGCCTTGAAGGGAAGGATATAGAAGTGGACTAAACCCCAACTAGCAGAAGAATTTGCATGAAAATACCAAAAAAGGAGACAGATGGAGCTGCGGTCTGGTAGCAATCCTGAGTGATCCTGACGGCATGGCACAGAGAGCTTTGAGAGTGCTGAGTGGCGGTAGGACCTAAGAATGAACCTAAAAATTAGCCCTGCTAGCCAAGGACTGCATGGAGGACTGCTCTGGTGGCTGGGGAATAAACGGAAAATGTGAAGAGAAATGCAGGCTGAGCTGTGGACTTTTGCCTGTCCGGAGGCTGCTGCCATTTTGAATGTTCACAAGTGGCTTGACCATTTTGGATATTTAAAGAGACAGCGCTTTTGCAGATTCCAGGGGCTTAAGGACGATTCTGCTTGCCCGCAACCCCAAGGACACTCTGACTGGGACCTGCACGACTAGAAAGGTGCGAGATTCCTCTTGTTACTCTTATACCCCACACCCGCGTGATAAACGGAGGTGTGGCCATCCCCCACTCCCACCTACCTTCTGGGCCCACAGGAACTCCATCACAGACTGTGTGCTCAGATGGAGTGTGGGTGCCCTGCCCAGTCCTCCACTGATTTTTTTTCTCTTATTATTTTTTTCTTTTTTTGCTTTCTTTTTCCTGGTGATTAGTTTGCTTGTATTTGTCTGTTTTTAAACAACTATTAGTATTAATACTTTTGTTCTTTTTACTATTATTCTTATTCTTCCCCTCCCAGGTCCTAGTTTTCAGATTTTTTTCTTTTTCCTATTCCTGGTTAAAATTTATTTATTTTTTTAATTAAATTTTTTTCCTTTTTTCCCCCTTTTTTTCTCGTGGTTAACCCAGTTCCTTGTTTTTCTTTGTGCATTTTTTCCCATTTTTTTCCTTCATTATTCTCCTTCTCTACCTTTTTTCTCTTAGTGCCCTATATCCAGATATTGCAGATTTTCTTGTTATTTTTTTCTTCTTTTTCCATTTTCTCTTTTTTTTTGGTTACTGTTCCTGTGTGATTACATGGTGTCTTTTTTGTCCATGTGCTTTTAGTATTTTGATCGTTATTCAATTGTAATTTTTGTCTATCTGAGTGGGAAACAGCAACAATCCCCATAAGACACAACTACACCCCCACCTCCTGGAACTTCACATACTGACCAAGAGCCACTTCCTCCTTCTCCACCAATGGGCCAATGATAAAAAACCACCAAGAAGAGCCTGAATCACACTTGGCTGCTCTTCACAAACAGTTAACAGAGATCTAAATACAGCAATGCTACGATGCCTCGGAGACAACAGACCATCACAGTCCACAAAGAGGCAAGATAAAGTGGTAGAAACAAGGAGCAGGATACAGACCCAGAACACATCCCTGAGGAAGAAGCAGCATTGGAACTCTCTGATAAGGAATTCAAAAGAATTAT